CGCTCTCTCTACAGATACATAAAACAACTATAGGACACACAGTGTATAAAACACCTTAAGGAACTACTTCTTTATGCCAGCCTGCTCAGCCTCAAATATAATATCTAAAATGAATCTACTCACATTTCAAAGTGCAATGTGAATCTGTATTATAGAAACATTTAAGTATCAGATCGGGACTTGGCAGATCCTCAATATTAAAAGACTGAAAAGAAGGATTGAGATCAGTAGCAACAACTCAATGCAGACATCACTACTAGAGACTTTCTTTGGTTCTCAACAAATATAAAAAATAACTTAAAAATGGCCTGTGAAAGTGTAAAAAGAAGCAGAACATCTAAAAGAAAAACAGGCTAAATAGTTGTACAATAAAATTACAGCTTATAAAAGTAGGCATTGAGAGAGCAACAATACTTTTTTCTTGCTGCTACATTTGTAATCTCATTTGAGTCAAGAGAACAATCAGAACCTTTGTGTTCATTAGCAGCTGATGTCCTAATAACAGTGATCACAGTTAAATAGTGGAAAATCCTAACAATGAATCTGGGTAATAGTCAAATCAGCTTTCAAAGCAACAGAAAAATGAGCCCTCGAATAGGCAATCACCACTACAGCTAGGTGATTAGTCTCTGTCCGGCAGACTGCCGTACACCATGGGCCAATACACACATACACGCACGCATGCACACACCATAAACATATATATATGTTATAATATAAGTATTACAAATAATGTTAAAGAAGTAGTACAGACATAAGGTTTTTGATTCTTCAAGCCAAACAAAAAAAGCATATAAAGAAAAAACTGATTTTACCATAAGTCGTACAGGACTTCAAGGTTCAGTGAAAAAACGTCAAACTGAAATTGAAACCGTTGTATGTCTTCGCCCAATAGTCTGGCTTGTGTTTATTTTTAGGGGCTCATGTTTGACTTCTACTCACTAATGAGAATCTCACCGGGCCCAGAAGACTGATGTGTTTGTGAAATGAAACAAACAATTAAATACAGCCACTGTTATCAAAGCAGAGTTCCGAATACGTAACAAATGACATGTTATTTGATTCGAATCTCACAACATTCATTTATACCCTCAGCCCAAGGTACTGTAGCTGTATTTAGTGAATAGACATGTTAGCGACTAAGGTTAAATAAGATAGAATTTGCTGTACACATGCTGAATGCTCTGAGTGTGGGAGAACAAGTTTCAAATGACCTCGACCATCGACTGAACTCAATGTAGCCATTACAAATCAGGCTTTATTGAACTGCAGGCTGAAAATCACTCATCATTGGCTCTCCCCGCACGTAGTTGGGCAATCAAATCAAAATGCGCCCTAATTTGACAGTTGTTATAAGAGTGACCTCAGCATAATGTGAATAACTACCATTTATTACAAAGAAGAATTGAGACTAATTCTACATAGCTTGTCACATCTGACGTTGGACCTTAAGGTTTGGGGGGAAGGGTTAGCGCCATATGCTCAGTATATGACAGCTACATCACATAGAAGTGTATACTTCTCATGGGATTGTGATCGGCCTAGTGTGTGTGTGTGTGTGTGTGTGTGTGTGTGTGTGTGTGTGTGTGTGTGTGTGTGTGTGTGCATCACAGATGTTGCAGTCTGAGGTCTGGTGCAGATGGCTCTGGGCGTACTTGCCAGTGATCTCTTTCCAGTGAAAGCAGCACCATCACACACCGCTACCTGGACTTTGTTTAGAGGATAGGAAGTGACATGCCACTCACACGTCACACACACACACACACACACACACACACACACACACACACACACACACACACACACACACACACACAAAGTCTCTTCTTTGAATTGTACTTACTTTATCAAGCATTTTAACAAAAAGCATATTAAAAAGAAAGAATAATTATTGGTTATTTCTCTTAAAATATGTTTATCATCACTGAAAAGCAAACGTAATTATCTCATAATATTTTTTGCTTAATTGATTATTAGAGAGAATAAAATGTGTCTCTGGCCTAATTGAAGTGAGGCTCACTCAGTAATCTCACCCTTAAAGCTTGTGTGAAAGTGAGCATGTTTCTAATTGGTCAGTCTTTGATAGCCCTAAGCATAGTATCTCCATTGTAACTGTACATTATTTATTCATTACTCACGTTATACACCCAAGCATGCAAACCCACAAACACATGTACACAGGTTAGGGCAGACACTAGTCACTAAGCCAACCTAAGTATTTGGAAAGACAGCGTCTTTGTAGCATCACATTCAAACACTGTATCCAGACTCAGAGGAGCACAGGGCTCTCTCTCAGTCTCCCTCTCCTTGTCAGTGTCTCTCTCTCTCTCTCCTTGTTTCGCCCCATTTCTTCCCCTGGTTAAAGGTGTCCTCTGGGGGATATAAAAGCCTCAGGGGATTTGTCTTAGTGCAGAGTGCCACCTTGTTGTCAAGGCTGCAATGACACATTTCTTTCAAAGCTACTCCTGACAGACACTCACAGAAGAGAAATGGCATTTCATAATGCATTGCAACATCAGTGCAGTGCATACATAGATAGTTTATACAATACCTATTGAGAGGAAAAGGGAGGTAGTACATTGGACAGGGGCCAGGCAGATTATGACATAAGAGTGCAGTAGCCCAGATACGACCTGTGTTACTTCATGGCATCTTATTTTAGTGGCTTGATATTCATCAATGACAACTGGGGCTTTAACATCTGAACACTGTGGTTGAATTTATTTTGGACAGTATTATAATTAGGGGTATTGCATATATTTTAAAGGGTGCATATAAGTAAAAAAGGTGGTATAGTTTTCTACCCTTTAATTGTACATTATTCTTGATTTGTTGACTGCAGACTACACATATATTGCATAGATATATTTCACCAGGAAAACACTTAATGTAATCAAAAGCATTCTCTCTATTCGATATATAAACAAACAATTTTTTTTGTTACAAAAATGTCCTGATTTCTGTGGTACAAAAATGATGAGGATTTGTCCGATGAAAATGCTGTAATCATGAAATGAATTTTTTTTGATAAGGGAATACTATGTTCATTATTTCATATCATATCATAATCAATTAAGGAAAATAGCCTGAAAACAAAAAATTGCATTGTCAATGTTTCATTCTTTCTACTTATATTATATATGATACTTTGTAAATTGTTTTATATACATAGTCACACATTGCCAATAGTTTATAATTAGCCTATGCCTCACTACACAAAAGAAAAAATAAACAAGAGATTAAGAGAACACTGTTTATGTACAGGTGTAATTGCATAGGTGTGTAAATGGCCAAAGATGACCACCATACAACCCAATTACTGCAGCGGAAAAGGGGGACAGAACAGAGTGTATGCACTGGGTCAGTAATGTGTTCATTAATGTGTGAGAAAGCCGAACACAGCCAGCAGGGTCCTTGTCACAGCGTTTTACTGGATGAAGAAGTTAATTAAATGAGGAAACGCAGGATGAAAAGAGAGAAATGGAGGAGAAGTCAGGAAGGACCGAGGGGTGATTGTTAACAGGACATCTGGCACAAGCTTGTTTCTCTCTGGGAGACGGCAGCAGGGAGGGGGAGATAACAGCCATAAGCACTTGACCTTCCATTTGTCTGACTGGCAAACTCGCACACACAAAATCAAACTCTAACAAACACACAAGCAACGACGGACAACCACATACATATGCAAAAGTCTACACGTTTTTGTGTGAACAGTTTTCCAGAGACAAGAGATAAATACTGTGAAGGTGAACAACATGGCCGGCAGGGTGCTGACACGTCAGAGACGGAGACCAGAGGATGAGATCACGGTCCGCCTCCGGGCTGTAATGGTGAAGGGAGCCGCCTCATACACACACATAAAGGCAAACACATGCGCACGCACTAGAAAACATAAACGAAAAGTATGTATGCCCACACACACACATACTGTTGGCCCTTTCATATAGGCGCATAGGAACGCGAGCACACACACAAACAGCCTCACAGTGTCTCTGGGAGTATGCAGTGAGTGTCTGTGCCGGCTGCATACGTGGCCCCATGCATAAACAATGTGCCCTGAGAGACAGTGGAGTGATACTATGGCCCTTAGCACAACTCCCATGAGCCTCTCTGCCCCTCCATAGCCACTATCAGTCTCTCTCTCTCTCTCTCTCTCTCTTACACACACACACACACACACACACACACACAC